AAAAGATGTGGAGCAGGACTGTGCTCAGCACTCCACAACAATTAGGCTTCAAAAAACAGAACAGAGAAAGTCCAAGAAAATTGAGATGCAGAAATCACCATTTTCTCTGCACTAAGGGCAGAAATGAAGGAGTAGAAAACTGAAAATCCCAAAGCAAACCTCACCACATTTATTTTATTCTTTAAACACACACTATCTTGTTTCTTAACATCATCACAGATTAAATGCATACTACTGTATGTCTATAAAATGCAATAAGTCACCCTGGGTATAGACCACAGATATAGATCAAATTCTACATATAATGTATATGTGGTCCAGTTACCATCATGAGAAAGATTTATAAAAGCTACAGGGAAATAAGCACACAAAAAAATGTCTTGCAATAACATTTACTGACAGCAGACTAATAAGGAATTACTTCTAAGTTCACTGATTTTGAAAGCAACAACATATCTTCTCATATTCTAAAATTATTAATTTGGTACTAAAGACAATAAAACTGAAGGACCGTGTTGAATTATGTATCTTCACGAGAACTGATGGAGGCAAGAACTATGCATCTTGCACCACACACTTGTCAAGAGTTCCCCAGTTACTTCACACTATTCCTATCAAGAGCATGATCATGAAAAACAGGTGGTGAAAAGACATTTCTAAGTGGACAAATTTCAAGATAGATATCTCTCGTGATTTACAAAATGTGGTGTTTGTTTTTTCTGGGGGGTTTTTATATAATGGAATCATGAATTATATTAGATCTTATTAGTAGAGCAACAACTGTTCTAGGTAATGTTCCTCCTACAGCTGTTGCTGTAACTGGATCGACAATATTTCTAGTAAGCAGTAGTTTGTCTTACAAAATGAACATTTTGAGTAAAATGGTAATTCCTAAGAAGTCAGTCATGAATCACAGTACTCTCTTTGTATCAGGCAATTACAGAAAGTTCCACTCAAGATGAGGAGCAAACTTTCAGGTATATTGCACCAACCTAGAAAATCATCAAAAATATGTTGGAAAGAGACCTTTTTCTACTGTCTCAACAGAACCTTGTGTTACTACCACACTCAGTGTGACAGAAGAAAGCTGCACATCATCCCAAGATTTGTGCCAAAATATAAAAGTTGACAACACTAATTTCTTTGTTAACGTAAATCTCAATACTGCAAGAGATGAGAAAGCTGCATATGCCATGCAGATTATACAATCAAAACTAAGGCTGAAGATTACATTCTTACTGCCAAGGCAGGTAGACAATCTGCCAACTGTAGAAGTATTGCACATGGGGCAGCTAACACAACTGTTGTCCAAGTGTCTTCAAGGACAGTGAGCTGGGACTCTCCATCTGCCCAAGTGCAGGATTGCTATTCCAGTTGTCTCCAGGAAGATAAGAAAACTTAAGGACTACTTTCACAAATTACATACGTACGCAAAGTGGCCTAGGAACTGGTCAAGTGGGAAAGAAAGAGGGCAATGATTGCAAACAAATATATTCACATCACATTGTCAGAAACACCAGCTAAATTAGGTACTGCAAATATATAGTTGAAGGTCTGCACACTCCCTTGTCAGTAAATGTGCTTAATGAGCAAGAAGAGAGTAATTAGCAACCTCAATTTGAAAACACAGCATATCTAGAGCATGCTGCAGAGCAATACTTGCACCTGATGAGGAGAGATCAGGCACAGACCTGAGCCAAGCCACATGTAATCCACTGAGTCCAATGCAAACGTCAGTTTACAGTCACAATTCAAAAACATTTAAATCTTTTGAATATGTACACTTTTTTATTTAACCAGGAGATTATGCTTTATTTCTTGCATTCAACACACATCTATCTTACAGTGGTATCAGCAAATCCAGAATGAGTGTTATGACTTTCCCACTTTTTTTTTTTTTTTTTTCCTTTTACCAAGAGAGTGGTGAGGCCGGAACAGGCTGCCCAGAGAGGTTGTGGATGCCCCATGGTTGGTGTTCAAGGCCAGGTTGAATGGAGACCTGGACAGCCTGGTCTAGTATTAAATGTTGAGCTTGGTGGCCATGCCTGCGGCAGGGGGGAGTTGGAGCTTGGTGGTCCTTGAGGTCCCTTCCAACTGAAGCCACTCTATGATCCTACAATTCTATTATTCTACTTAAAAAAAAAAAAAACCACCCACAAAGTACGATGCCTCACTGACTCCTCATCAGAAAATTAGCAATATTTCAGAAATCAAAATAACACCTGAACAACTGTAACAACTGAATGCTGATAATTATTTACAATACAAATCACTGCCTTCATAAAGTGTCAGACTATCCTCAAAGTAATAGATTTTATGTTGGATTTGATTTCCATTTCTGGTAAAAATAGTAGGGTTTGTCTCATCAGTTTCTTCTGCAAAAGTGATCCTCATGGAACAAAGACTTTCTATTAAAGTTACAAGGAAAGCTGTTTAATTAGTTGAGTAGAGATCACTTACAGATGCGAGGAAGAACAGACTTCATACTACAGTTATAGATCTATTAGCATCAGCTTTAATCTATATAGGTTGCTCCAAAAGTAATGTCTCTTATTTCCATAGAAACTACAATAGACACAAAGTGCAAAATAACACTATTTGATAGAGCAAATGCTCAGCTACAAAATGCTATTTTTCAACAAAGCCACCATCACCAGCTATGCGTTTTCACCCGCAATCAATGAGAGTCTGCATGCTGTGCTCATAAAGATCTGCACCAGTAGAGATGACCTCTTTTGCTGTTGCTATTGCTTAAGTGTACCACCTATCACCTCATTGTGCTTACATCCACTGTTTGGTCTCTATAAACATTCAGCAAACATCAGTGAATGTCAGTAGGTGTCATTTTTTTCTTCAAGGAGGAATTCAATGATGCACTTTTGCTTCATATGCACTTCCATGTCAGATGTCATTTTGTCAGATTGCCCCTCTGCTGCCTTCTCTTGCACAGCAACAAAACAATGAAATATTGGTGGGAAGGTTCAGTGTCTACTGCCATACCATCTCCATCCACCTCAGACATCATGGGTCAACATCACAAAACAGGAGGCATTATTTTCGGAGTAGCCTTCATAGTAACACTTTCCACAAGACCAGCAGACTTTATTGGAACAACTGGCCACTACTAATGGGAAAATACACTTAAAACTTCACAGTGCAGGAGTAATCATCACAGTGCTCATCAGCTACGTACAGTAGAAGTGGATGGATATTGTTCCTCAAAGAAGTAGAGGATCTACGGAAACCGGCAATGCTACTGCAATACTAATTTAATGAACATGTGCAAGTGAGGCATGCTTTACTGTTAAATTATACCAGGAGGCATCTGTTCCACACAGCTGGGCATTTGGAAGTCAGGGTACTACAGCAATCTAGAAAATTAAGGTTAGACATTTGTGTAAGATGTGCATAATGATGAAACAATGAAACATTTCCTGCATTACACTGAGGGTACCTTCACACACACACATAGTTTTTCTTTCATCACAAGAAAATTTAAGAGTGAAGATGCAAAAACATAAGTATAACTGCAACAACATGCCAAGTGGAGAAGATGCAGACAGTAAAAGTATCCTTGGAACAGAGGAAAATCATGCTAAGGGTCTTGGGATAATGGGAAAAAAAAGCAACATACATCAAACTGGATAGCAGTGTGTACATGCTAATCCAGTTTTAGGATGATTAGAAACATTTTCCTTACTGAGAGATATCTATCTTCATATCAGATGTTAGTCACTTTTCAGAAGTCCAGAAAGCAGTGGTAACTTCACAAGTTGAATATTTTGTTCAAGTGAGCAAAGAAAACAAACACAGAAGAAGGATTGATGCAGAGTATTTAGTGAAGAACATTCTCAAAAATGAGATTAAAGAAAATAAATTAAAAGCTTTGTGATGATACAATATGTTAATAAAATCTCTTTTCCTCACCTGTTGCCATCATTCAAAGAGAAGCAGACTCAGAAGGAGTAGGGCACAATATATTCCTTCCAGGATACACTGGAGCTGAGACAGCAAAGTGAAAGCTTAAAGGTAACCTTCATCCTCCCTCCCCAAAACTATAATTTCAGAGTCATCTGCTTTGGAAGCGTTAGTGATGGATCATTTCCCAAGCGTGAGCTGCAAGCTACTTGAATAACATTCATGATATCCATCTCCCTGTGGTGTTCACATCAATAAAAGTAGATGATAAAAACTAAATGCATTACATTCAGACAGTTGAATAAAATGAAATTTTCTCTTCTCCACACCAACTGGTTTTGCCCCAAACTTTCAAAGCCTTATTTACATTCATACAAAATCTGTTTACAGTCAACTTCACTGTTGAGTTCGTGATATTTTTTTTCATAACCAACTTAGACACAAAGCAAAGCTAGCCAGGTGTCTCTAAACCACAGAGCCAGCTGTTCCTAACCAAGCTCACAGGAAATAGCAAGGAAAATATGCAGTATTTAAAACATCTGGAATAGATTGCAGAGTCTTTGAAAATTGTGCTCCAATTCCCTTCCTCCTGCTGATGAGATTTCAGGCTACCAAACTGCTGCATCAACTATAGAGGATTAGATAACCCTATGTAACATTTGTCTGAAAGAGAACTTTTCTGAGCTAATGCAGTAAAAAACAAACAAACAAACAACAAAATACATGAAAAGCCAACAAGAATCTGTAGGAAACCTTCTGTAGAATGCATTGTAGCAAACCAAAATAAATCTGTCAGATGACTGCTATTTAATTGAAGGAAATTGACACAGATGGAAAACTGTACTAGTTAACAGCGGCAAACACAGAAAAAAGAAATCAATACTGCATGCTTTGCACAGTTACATTAACTCATTACAAAGAAATGCTGCTACAGTATGTTGCCATAAAACATGAGAAAAGTAAGAGACGATAGACTGATCTCTTCTGTCAACTAACTTCCTTGTAATTCCACAAATACTGGAGTGTGCGGTTTTCAATATATAAAATAAAAATAAAATTAAAAAAACAAGCCTAAGTCTTAATTAGCAAAACAAAGCACTGTTTTATTATCTGTTTCTTATTTCATAAGGACAATGGATGCAAAAGAACAGAGAAACCAACAGCTAAGTTTAGAAGGAACTTCTACTTAATTTTACTTTCCATAAAAAGCGGGGAAGTGAAGGTGCCCCTAAGGTTTTAATCACTTTCAGTATCTCTGAAAGATTAAGAAAACTAATAATGTAACCAGTTTACATATGCATATTTTAAACATTCATTACAGATACAAAATTGAATACAGCACTAACTCAAAACATAAATCTCATTTTTAATGTTAGTAATAAAAAGGCAGAATCCTAATATAAAAACTGGAGGAAAGTATTTGTAATTTTTTTCCCCAAAGGTGCAACCAACAACCAATGTATTTTGCAACTGAGATTCCAGTTGTACAAAGGACTGAGAGATGCATTCTCCTTCTTAGGTAGAAGTATAAATGATAAACATTAAAGGAAATCAAATGTGCATTAACACTTAGAGTAACCCCCAAAGAGATGATATTTAATAGCAAAGTAATGGTATAACTTAAATGAACACTGAGAGAAGTGCAACACACTTTTTCCAATTTCAGAGCTTTAAAAGTAAGATTTCTTTTCCTTCATAGATTATTTCCAAAGTTATCTTGCATTTAGTTTATTCTTATGAAATGGCAGATAATTTTTTTCCTCTTTTTCTTGAGAATATCCTAAATAGATGTTGAGTTTATATCAAACTCAAGAATTTTTAAACAGAGTCAGTGTTATAAATCAGGGAATACATTTGCAATACACTGTTTCAGGAACAAAGGTGCATACACAAGGATCCAACTGCACAATCCAGGACTACAGGTGCAAGGCTGTCCATCCCTGCTAACATGAGCTCCATCAAGTAATGGGATCATTCTCACATACATAAGAATGAGGGCTTTTCGACTCAAGCCCTTTCCTGCTAAAATCCATGTGAGGAAAGCTGTGATAACCAATTCAATGCCTTTACCTCAAAAATTACATCTAATAGTAATTATACCCAAATAGTCAAATTAACAAAAAAATGCATATAGCTCTTATGAAGATTAAACAATTTGGAGAATATACTGTTACAAAATATATTTTGACACAGTTCCTAAGAAGCAATTTAAATAGTAATCTAAGCAGAATTATTTACAGGGGACTCAACGTGGGTATCATCCGTAAGTAAACCAGTATTCTGGTGTGAATTCAATAAAATATTGATGAATGCAAGTTTGTGACACCAAGGAAATTTTGAGTTTTAGTAAATAGCAAAGTTGTTCTACATAATCATTAGATGAATCTAAATTATAGAAAAAATCGTCTGAACTGGTTAATCTAAATCATTTAATGCATTTCATTTTACTCAAACTTCAGATCAACAAGTCAGTGGTACAGACATTTTGTGAAACAAGTTACCACTTACACGTGTCAGGTAAAACAAGCACAGATTAACCAAATCTGACTGTACCTAATCAATACTAATAGATGGTTTGTTCTTACTTCAGCACTACCGTTTTTTTAGTAAGCATGTATGCAGATGTGCTGAAACAAAAGGCAGCAATTATAAATATTTATTAGAATGACTACAACTGGCACTTGAGCGTAAGCCATCCTGTCATTCTATTTTGAAGCAGTATCTTCACTTATTTGTCTTCTGTTTTTAGTAGTCTTCTATCCTATTAACTTGCAGGATTAGGGATCATCTGGAAATTTCACACTGGTACAAGAAAGGAATGTCTGTTTGATGCAGTCTGGAGATAAAGAAAGAATTGCATTTCAGTTCACTGGAGAGACTACATGGAAGCAACACTGCTAAATGACATGAAATGCAGCAGCAGCAAAGAACAGCCTTCCCTCCACCCATGTCTGGATGGTACAAATTATTGACAACTTACTATTCTGTAAAAGCAATGTTTTTTACTAAAGGTTACAAAGCTATATTTTATCAAAGGCTACATTATTTCTTAATTAAAACTAATAGCCATTATACATGAAGTTACCTGTCTACAGAAGAATAAGGCTGTTTGAAGTGTGATAGCAATTAATTTGAACTTCTTGTTTCAATACTTACAACACTTAAACAAATAGCATCTAGGTGTTCATTTCTCTACGGAAATTTCAAACCCCTTATCAACTCATACATCCCAGTGGTTGAATATGCTTATAGCTAAAGGAAGCCACCAAAGTCAAACAGGACAACTCATTAACATCACTCAATGCTGAGTAAGGTATCAGTCTTTTGTCCAAATGCAGAATTTTAGGCAGGGATAACAAAGAATCACAGACCACATTATCCTACACTCTTATTCTCTTCAAGGTATTTTCAAATACCGTTTAGTCCTAGTGATAATTTTTAAAACAGTATTTTTATACTTCATTACAATGAAAACCAATAGGTACAGGTTTTCACAGTCTCCTTTGTATGAATTTTAATATTCTAAAAACTTAAGAAAGTGAGAAACATGCTACTCTTGTAAAAAGGTAATTCTGCCATGCAGATGCCACTTCAGATCAATAAATAATGATATACAACATTTTAGTAAATTTTAATTTACTGCAGTTTCACAAAATGTCAGAGCAAAGCTTACACATCATAGATGTTAAGAGGTTCATTTCATGATCAAGAACTGTATATCACATGGCACAATTATTTATTAGTGTTATTAACCATATATCACTGTTTCGCATAAAAGGAATAATCTTTTCCAGGCAATTCCATTTTTTCCCCCCCTTCAGATTTCAAAAATATGTGTTGTTATTTTCTCCATAGTAATACTGCTGCCAATTTCAAAAAAAAGTTAGTCTGCTTTATCACATCAAAAGCTGCTACACGGTTAAAATGCTTAAACACCGTGCTTTGACTCAAGTAAACTGCAGAGTAAAGGAGATGCCACAGTACTTATTTCTGGATTTAGATTTATCTCATCATGCAGTTCAGGTAAAAAGTTAAAGCAAAAATCTCCATTTGTGTTTAATTTACATAATGAAGTCCAATAGGTCCACCTAATGGATAAAAAGCATTAAGAGTGGATATGTGGCAGACTGTGTGTCAGCTACCTGAAGGATACACAGAACATATTGTTGCATACACAATCATCATCCTTGTATGTCACTGTCTTAGGCCAGTCATGTAAAGAGGAGCAACACTTACCTATTTCTATTTTCTGAACATGCATGTCACTCATGTCAATCAGATTTATTATGCAGGCAGCTTAGTGCTTCCTAGCTTGCTAACACAAGGTTGACAACTAAAGCCAGTTTTCCTACACAAAGGACAGTATCTCGATGGGCAGCAAATACTACATCTAGCACATAATAAACTACTAGTTCTATTTAGTTTTTGTTTTTGTTGCTGAATATTGGTTCCAGGGAGGACTGGGGGTAGCAATGAGTATACATTGTTTATTTTCAAATTTAATAATTTCAAGAGACTTAAAATATTCCCAAGTACATGTAGAATAGAGGCAACATTCATGACAGATGTTCAAAAATCATGCAACAGCAAGATGTTCTTGCTGTGTGACTGAAGGTTGTTTGTTTTTAAATGCAAATATTTCATCCATCTCATCTCAACCTATAAACTGCTTACCTTTAATACAAGAAAAAGAATCTTGTTCTGTGAGCAGCTGCCATGCTTTCAGACATGTTTCTGACTTTAAGATAATTGACAAAGCCTCGAAAGAACAGGAGGAGTCCTGAAGGTGTAGAAAATGAACAAAATGAAGTATATCAACCTGAAATATCCCACTTAAGATTATTCTTAAAAATTCATGGTATACAAAAAAAAGAGGCCTTTATGCATCATTTACAAATTTAACAAGCAAGTCCTCTACTTTTACTTTGTATTACATAAGAATATATCATTATGGAATGTTTTTTTACACTTATTCTGAGTTAATTTATCATCTGCTAAGAGACTACATGAAAAGCACTAAAAAGAGAATACGTATTCCACATGTATTCAGATAAAACTCTCTAAAGAGCTTACAAGTACAAAATTTACTTTGGATGTATTTAAGGAGTCAAAATAAAGAGAACACAGTACAAATTGTTCTTAGAAGACAATAATAAACATAAATAAATAAATATATAATAATATATTAATATATATTATTTATATATTAATATTATATATATAATAAATATTAATAAATAATAAAAAGGACATTATGGCTCAAGATTAAACCTTCTAGAAACCTAGGAAAATGCACTAGCCAAAGATGAAGGAAAATATGAAAAGCAGTCAGTTCAAAGTAAGCTACTCATTGTGTGTAACAATTTAATTTGAATCGTGGAGTTGACAAAAAGTATTTAATTTTTTTAAAATTCAGACACCCAGAAAAGCACTACTGTACAGTGAAAATCCACAAAGATGTAGAGCTCTTAAGTGCATTTTCCTCTGATACATTAACTTCAACTGATTTTTTTAGCTCTGTTGGATTCTCCTTGACTCAACAGATCAATTCACCCCCAAAGACTTGGAGTTTGAAATCTGACAGACAGCAGAGAGAAGCAGAAATTCAGAGCAATTCATTGCACAACAGGATGTACTATCTAAGTAGATCTGTGTTCTTTTTTCCCCACTCATAGGCAAGAAAAAACCCCACTTGCCTGCGGTTCAGACACAGAAAACCAAATTGTAAATAATCAAGGAAGAGCAGAAATGCCATGTTATCCATTTGGGAGCTCATTTATCATTTTGACAAGCATCAACAAAATACAGCAAGTATTAGTAAATATTTTCAAAGTCTATGGAGACAACACAAACCCCTAACGCTACAAACCCCTAACACTTGATTTTTTTTTTTTACTTCATCTAAGACTGATATGTCGGCACATTTAATCTTTGTATTCCTATGCTGTATCTGCTACTTGCCAGAGCAGCAAAATACACACTCAGCAAGATCAATCTGAGTAGGATCCTAAGTTTAGATTAAATATACATGTTAGCATTTAAAAGGCAAGATGACCACAGTCAGAAAATTAAGTTTACCATATATACTTTAGGTAGACAACTGAATTCTAAGGGTAGCTCTCAGTATACAGGGATTGGGTTCATTTTGTGTTTTTCAAGAACATGTAGAAACCTTGAAAATATATACCTGTGTTTATATATTCGCATAAACACATTCCAAAGATTCAAATAAAAATTCAAACAAAGATTAACAAATTCAGCAAAGGATTTCATTCTGTTCTCTTATATCTTAATAATGATCTACAGTTACACAGATGTTTTGATATTTGATGCACTTTTTCTTTTTGCTCTCCCTGTTGAAATATTGTTTTGTATGCTCATTTCTATTGTAAAAGTTTGTTTTCCAATTTTTATTTTACTTCTCTTTTGCATCTTCAAATTCAACTTCCTTAAGACATACACAGACCAATAACAAAGAAAGGAAAGAAAAGAAAACAACCCTAGAGAATAATATACTGACTACTGGAACCTTGACCTAAGGTTATTTCTATGATTAAGGTGAATTCTGGATGGAAAATCCAGAGTAGTAAGAGCAGTAAGATCTAGATCAAAAATCAGTCTATTAGAAAAGCTGCTACACAGTGCAGACTACACGTTACACTAGACTTACTACACTCTGTGTCTAGTGTAGACTTACTACACTAGACACAGAGCTGCTACACGTCACCAGAGATAGTCCCATACTCAGCTCAAATCAGCTAAAACAGCAAAAGGTGGTTAAGGAAGATTTTAAGGTGTCTGAAAACATGTCTCCTGCATTACAAGCTGGAAAAACAGTCCATGTTCAACTGATATTTTATATTTCTATTTTTAGAGAAGAAAGAAAAAGCAAGATAATACAGCTTCCATTGTGTTCCTTAGAAAGACACCTTGGCTAACATTTAAATTTAAATATAAAAATTGTCTCTCTCCCCCAGTTTGTTAGCAACGCATGAGAAGTCTTTGGAAACAGACCATTTCACTTTTCCAAGATTTTTCCAGTCTTTAGAAGAAGTGAGGGGAGTATGAACAGATGGGTGAACACTAGAAGAGAAAGGCAGCAAAATGTGGGCTTCAAAAAAAAAAAAAAAAAGAAAAAAAGAAAAAAAAACAGAATGGAAGAGTCAGATTCTATTTACTCACTTTTAAAGAGAAACAGGATATACTACTTAGCACATTCTGATTGGAAAGTTACCTGAAACCATGACAGACAGACCTAGCTGGCAGAATCTCCATAATTTGATAATACTCCTTCATTTGCTATTAAGAAGGTATATAGGAGTAAATCCATGTATAGTATTCTAGTAATTTCAGTTTAAGCCATCTTATCAGTTTAAACACACTGTTGGCTTATGTCATGTAAAACATTTATAAGACAAAGGAATGCTAATGCTGGATGTAAACTGCATGGATCACAGTGCCTTGGAATAAAAGGTGAGTAAAGCTCAGGCTGAAAATAAGGCTTTCGAAAATCAAAGTGGGCTGACTTCTGAATAGGACAAGTAATATAAAAGAACAGAAAAAAAAAATAAAAGCACCACAAAGGTTTGCTTTAGAAGTTTATCTGGAGATATTTGAACATGGAAATAATTGTTCCACTTGCTACTTAAACACAATCACCTAAAACAAAATATGGAAGTATTGTGGAATGTTACATCTGCAGTTTCTGTATGTCTCTAGTAACAAAGAGGTACATAGAGCACAACAGTAGAGGAAGCTATTAAGAAGCCTAGTGAACATCCTCAAACTTTATTAAGAGGAAGATATATAAAATACAGAAAAAAATAACTTAATGTTTTAGGCTTTTCTTCTGTGTGATAAATAAATCAAAAGCAATAAGGTCTCTCACTCTCAAAAAAAAATTATTTAACATTTTACTAAGATGTGCTGTTAGACTCAAAGGGAAGAGTGCCACCTACTGAACCAGCAGTTTACCATGCTTCCAGAGCTAGAAAATAAAATGGATAGTAGCACTCATCCTGTAAAAGCAAATCACTCCAAATTTCACATTCAAATCACAAAATCCACATTAGGAAAAGGGGTAAAATGCTTGAGGTTTGGTATATCATCACTAAAACTGTACTCATCAAGCTTGGTCTTCTGCCTAAAACTTTGAGAACAAGCAGACAGACTTCAGAAAAAGCTGATGTCACGGAAGCACTGTGATCAGAAAGCATGAAGCCATTCTCTTGTTCGACTGAGTAACTACTGAGGCAGTATGCATTTCAAAAGACTAGAAACGGACATTTTATAACATATGTGCAAGGTACCTGACTCCACCTTCCTAAGGTCAGTCATATTTCTTAAAATGCTAAGGCTTGACATACAAATCGTATATAAGTACTTGCTATCACTCACTTTCACTACATTCTCTGCATAAAACCTAGAAACATTATGCAATTCTGCACCCTTACATCAGCATGAGCAAATTAAAAAGCACGAGTTACAAGTCTCAGGTACATACACAATTACACTTGTAGAACAGAATTTTCACATGAATGTAAATTAAATAGTCTGCAGTTCACTCAGTAACATAACGTGGTAGCAACCTAGGGAACACTACAGAAATAAGAACAGCATATGAAACTATCAACAGAAAAATAGAAGTATACAGATGAGCATGTTTTAAAACGCTACTCACAAGGGCATGATGTATTTCAACAAAACAGAAATATTTGCCTTTGTCACTTACCAAGTACCAGAAATATCCACCAAAGCCAGTACTGTCCATTGAAATATCCAGTAAAGTAATCTGAAAACTGCAATTTATACACAAGGCTTAGTAAGACAAATGACTAAGACACATTTAATGCTTCAGGCAAATACTGGGAACAGAGAAAAAAGTAAATTCGAGTTAAAATAATGTATTCTCCTAAAATGCAAAACCACTATTTGTGCAGTAGTTTAATATGCAAGAAAAGCTGTCAAAGTCAACATGATACTGGTAAAGTTACTTCAAATCTTTAAAGAGATATTATATGTGTGTGTGTGTGTGTGTGTGTGTGTGTGTAGCATGCATATATATATATATATGGCAAGTAATACTTGCTAAAATCATCTGACATTTTCTATCAGGATGAATCACCACTGACAATTTTTTTTCCTGCCATCCCAAACACATTACTGCAGCCTGCTGCTTCAGATATTAACACCAAAAGCCACATTAGTTTAATCTTATCAGATGGGGATGTTCTGCTGACCCCTCAAAAGAAGAGCTTTTGACCTTCTGTATACCCCCTACTGTTAATCGCTGCCAAGAATACCAGCCCCATAAAGACCTCCAACTCATTAAAGTCTTTTCATTTTCAAACTAGCATTCAGTTCCCAGCAGTGAGCTGAACGCAACTAAATGAACCTTGAAGAGGCATTTCAACTGTTCCTGTTAGTGACCATGGTAGACAGTTTTGTCCTCTCTGATGTGGGAGGCAGCTGGAGGGCAGGGTGTGATGATGTTGGAGACAGGTATCTTTGCCTTTAGCAGACTCCAGACTGCATGCTTCACTGATAAAAAAAAAAGTCTAATCAAATGTCTCCAAAGCATACATAAGAAATAGAACAAGGAGATGTGTGAAAAGTTGCTTAAAGGAACTAAAAAACCTTTTTAGTAGCTTTGCATATTTCTCATACACCTCCATTCCTTCATTCAGTACATTTATTGTATCCTGTCCCAGTAGACCACATTTTCATTTCTAGGGCACTTCAGTAGTTATCAACCAAGAAATCATGCAACTCAGGCATCATTTACTCTATAAAAAAAAAAGATGCTGAAAGAACTGTAGATATAGCTGTTGGGTTTTGTTCCCCACAAGTGACTGCAGTGAAATTGAAATGTTTTCTTCAAAATATAGCCACCTCCTCTGAAATCTTTAAAGGCTTAATACTGTACTGTATTCATTTCTAATGATAATCCAAGAAAAAAAATAATCTAGAAATAGAATTGCTGAGCTGAATTAAAAGAACAAGTACATAATTTACATACATAATATAAGTACATAATATATAATAAGTACATAATATAAATACTACAGTTTCTATTATTCAGCAGTAAGCATGATGCTTTTCGTAAGTTCATTAAAATATCAAATGAATACCCAATTTCCAGAAGGACTACAGCATTATTAACCCAGCTTTACCTGTTTCTCTAAGCACATATCCTTTAAAAAAAGAAACAAAACTTACAAAATATCTTAAAATCACTGATCAGTCAAGTACTGGCCTATATGCACTACTCCTGCTATTTTTCAAGCAAAAGAAATCATTGTTGCAGAACTTACTGAACAATAAAACCAATTCTATTTGTTTTCTATATATATATTTTTTTTAAGTTAGACATGTAAAATAGGACTAGTTAGGCAATTTTTTTTTTCTTACTACTGAATGAAGAAGTGCAACACAAACCATTTGAGGAGATTGAAATAATGTAATATTTTTGTGCATATGTACACATGTGCATCACCATTAAAACAAAATTGTCAGCATATATCCTATTTGCTTCTGTTATTTTCTCTAGAAAGGGATACAGCACAGGAAGATAACCTCCTCTGTAAAAAAGAAGCCTTGAGGTCCTGGAACTGATCAGATCTAGTGTTTCCAAATTAGTAACAGATTATACAAAAGATTTAAAATACAGGCTACAACTTAGTAATTATTTAAAGAAGTTTAGCATGTGTTCATTTTAGTGTTATGAGCATATTTTCAAGTAGACAAGAACAATAAAACCTGCAACAATCAAGTTCTGCCTTCTGTTTTGTATACCTGAACTAAAGTTTAAAGGAGCTACAATGGATACATAGTTAAAAAATTCACATCTTGTCCATTAAGACAAATTCCATTCCAAACCTGAATCCACTTAAATATACCAGAATCCCATCTAGTCTGGTAGCATTCCTCTGTCTTGGGGAAGAAAATACCTTTCAGATGTAAGAAGGATGAAGGACATGTGCCACCCAAGGCCCCATGTAATCTCTCCTCACTACAAGCCTTGCACTATTGTGCAAAGAGTAAATGAAGTTATATTAGTTGCATGTACAGGAGAAAAAAAAATAATAATCAGTGTTGGCAGCACATAAAAGACTACTATTAATCCAAGATCTTCTCCTTCAATAGGCAGGATGAGATTTTAACGGTGTACCAGAGACACATGTAATTCAAGTTCAGAATTATTAAGTTTCATCTAGTATTTTCTCAGAGAAATTGCCTCCGTTTAGTTAGCATAACTTTCTGAAAGTATTTAAGCTGGTAAAAACATGACTAACTTCAAACTTGATTTTGACTCAACACTGTATGTATGTACCTGGTTTTCTTTTCCCTGTGAGATATAAGAAAGCAGTGTTTTTTTGTTTTGTTTTCCTTTGGTAGCCTGACACACCACTTGTAAATTTTTCTTTTAGGAAACTTTCTGAATAATAAAAATGATATTTTTATATTTGCTCCACTTATGCATGCCTTTAAATATTTGTTCAAAGAATGAGTCAATCTACATTTATTTTAAAGGAAACGCCACGTAAATGGTAAATCAGATAAAAATAGATTAAGTTTCATTGTTACTAAGTACGTATGAACATATAGCAAGTAAATTCCCTACTAAAGTGCAAGTTAGAAAAAGTTCTAGGCACTAAGTGCTGGAAATACTTGTTTATAATGCCAATACTGTATGCTTGGATTAAGTATTATGGGTTGGTTCTACAAGTAGAATCAAAAAACATACCCGTACAATGAGAATCCATTTGATCAGAGACAGACCAAATCCACAGATTGCACCATACCTTCCAGCTATGGTATTGGTTATACAGAAGGATAAACAAAATCCAATCCAGTTGAAAATAAATGCCACTATAAAATAAAAGAAATAGTAGCTTATGTTAATCTGTATAGCTAAGTAAACAGACTTCACATTAATTTCACTTAATAACTAAAAAGGACATGCTTACAGAGTCTGCAGTTCCCTTTTGGTAATTCAAGCTGTCAGATTACTTTGAATCCAGACATTCTCAATGGTATATAGTCACTTAATAATAAAGTAAATGGTAAACAGGATCTGACCTAATACTTTAAACAAGAGAACGTTCCAACATGAAAAAAAGTAATACTTTGCTACAGAAATCTGAGCAGACAACAGTAGACAAGTAGGGTGAATGCAAATAAAGGACTTGAGCATACAATATTTGGATTCAAACAGAAAATAAACTAGTTACAATTTTGTGATCTAGTTATACGCACACGTGTGCGCAGCAAGGTTGCATATTCAGCTTTATTCAGTTTGAATAGAACACAGCAAAATCATCTGATCTTGCTCTGTAAACACAGTGTATGAAGTTGAAAAGTTGGTTTCTCTTCTAGGTCTATATCCAAGCATCCTTTACATAGAAACTTAAAAAAATGAAGCAACAAAAACAACATTGAGCATGAGTACTATTGCTACTTCTGTTAATTTGATACAGCTCTCAGTAGAAACACAATTACATGTTTCATGTCTACTGCTCATCCAGTTGACACACAACAATGTCATACGTACAGACTTCAGTCTGAGTGCATTGGGTCAAAGTGGGGTAATCCCAATTAGGCAGTATACCAGCCTTGGGAATGAGGGAGCTAAAGAAAAGGCATAGATCAGAACAGCTGAGAGCACTAAAGGAAGATGACAACTCCCAGAAAGGACCAGACAATGTACATGAAGGAAATTAAGCCCACAGTAAACCCAGAAGACATCATAGAGGCAGGGAAGAATGGATGTAGGACAGAGGAGAGAACTCCTGCACACAAATTCTGAATGGTCTAAGACCCAATACTTGGGGGCAGAGCATTACATCATACAGGAAACGTCTGTCTTGGCAGTAAAAATCTGAACACACAGTAAAACTTTAGGAACAGAAAAACTGTTTCTAGGTAACCCTTTCAAGAGATTTCTTATTTATTTCTTTGCAATTTAAAACCCCGCTACAACTCCTCCAATAACCATATTGAGTCGTGATGATTTTTCCTCAAAAGCAGAAATGGAATGGTTTGTAACACTGAATTTCCATTCACTTAAAGAACTGAAGTTTCAAGAGAAATTTTGAAAGACTTCGCATCATCATCACAGTCATTTTGTACAAGTGAGAAAACATCTTGCCTCTGATGATGATGAGAAAGTTTACTTTTATGTTAATTACTAATAAAAAACCCTCAAAACTTTAAATACACACTGATCCAACCCAGTATATGCAGAAAAGAAATAAACAAATAGTATTTTATTACATATCAGTTGCAGAACAACATGTTAGCAATCCTGACATTTACATAGCTTTCCAAAACAAATAGCATTTACATTTGAGAAAGCTTGGACAAATTGCTCTAGAAGCAGGAATTCCCATTTTTAAGCATGCTTTTCAAATTCACCATACTTTCAACAGTAACATTTGCAGAAGTTAGTTCTTCAGCATGTCTGTTCCTGCCCCATACACAACTACAGGCTGGGCTTGTTCAGCCTGGAGAAAAGAAGGCTGCAGGGTGACCTCATTGCAGCCTTTCAGCACAAACAGGAGGGGAATCAACTCTCTGAAAGGATAGATAACAGCAGGACAAGGGAAAGATTTTAAGTTGAGGGAGGAAAGATTTAGGTTGGATGTCAGGGGGAAGTTCTTACAGAGGGAGTGGTGAGGTGCTGGAACAGGCTGCCCAGAGAGGTTGTGGATGCCAGGTTGGATGGGGCCCTGGGCAGCCTGGTCTGGTATTAAATGGGGAGGCTGTTGGCCCTGCATGTGGCAGGGGGGTTGGGGATCCTTGATGTCCCTTCCAACCCTGGCCATTCTGTGATAACTAGTTACTGCTCTTCCCCTTCTCCTCATGCTACTGATTGTGACTGACTTGTGGCTCTGACAGGCAAGCCATTAAGGAGAAAGACAACAGACAAGTATATAATGGACTAAGCATAGTACTTACCACTTTTAATGGTTATATATAAAGGCAAGGATTTATAGCACCTACATTTCGTATATATTGTAAAAAGAATAATTTACCCAAGTATACTAAGGGAATTAAGTTCTTAGAGTCAAATTTTTAAACACCACTGTATTTTCTTTTCAAATTATCCTAAGCAAAAAATTCGAAATAAGATCCTCAGTCACTGAGTATCAGGAAGATATTTAACACTGAGTTATTTGCATAACTCCTGAAAGACAAGGCATCAATGTTTTCCAGTATTGCTCAAACTTTATTCCCTTTGCTTTACTCAGTGTGTTGTTCCACCAAGTTAGCATCAGATAACAAAAATGGGAAAGAAAAACCATAGACTTTCTAGCAGCTGTAAATTATGCAAGTTTAGTTTTATTAGGATGCATGAACTAAGTAGTGAGATTTGCCTTCTGCATACGCTTCTACTTATTTCAAAGTCAGAGAGAGATTGACAAAACAAAGCATCTCTGTCTACAGCTCAGAAATCACTGAATTGTGCAAACTTCTTGCTGCAACAAATGCAACCCTCTGCATTATGCAACAAGAACTGTTTCCCATTCCAAGGATCATATTCATATCTTAGCCTAACTCTCAGCTACTGTCCTCTTCTCTTTAATAAATTTAAGATATTTAGATTAAACTTTCACTGTCTACACTAAAGCCATGACTTCAGTCTCTCTTTTTACTACTCTAACAACACACAAGAAGTAGGACTGTTAAATGTTTAGGTTTTTATTTTTAATACACTCTTGAAGTGACAACAAGAAGAGTAAGCATATATGAATATATTTCAAATTACATTTTAAAAAAATCAGCCATTAGAGTTATTTCGTGACAACAGAACTCATACTGAGCAACAGGTAAGAAGCTGCTTTCCAAAAACTGCAATAGGTTAAAATTTCTGTGTTTTTTGTTGGCCTTCAGAGCTGCAAGAACACACTGCAGCTTCACGTCCAGGCTATTCATTCATCAGGCCCTCCCATCCCCTTCCCAAGTCTTTCTCCACAGGTCAGCTCTCAATGAATTCTTCTTCTAGTACATACCTGGGATTACTTTACTCCAATCCAAGTGCAACATCTTGCACTTGACCTTGTTGATCCTCATTAGGTTCATGTTGGCCCACTTCTCAAGTTTGTCCAGGTCTCTTTGAATGGCATCTCTTACGTTCTATCAACTGCACCACTCAGCTTAGTACTACCTGTGAACGTGCTGAGGATGCCCGTGATCCCACTGTCTCTGTCAGTGATTAACATGTTACAGGACCAATGCCAATACTGACACATATTTTATTCCCACAATTTACAGTCAATGCAGAAAATGTAGTTTTTCCATTTCTAATCTTATTACATTAAAAAATCCAACAATAGCAACAAGCATAGTAGAACATATCTATTTCTTCCTCCTCACGTTCTTTCACTCCACTTGCTGATCTTTTCACCTTAGCTTTCTACACCTTCATATTAATTACTCATCTTAAGTTTACTAGCATCTTTTCCATGACACTAAATATAAAACTGGTCTGAAGATATACTTTGGTTCCAAATTTAACCCACAGCTTAAGTCTGTAATGAGATTGTAATGGCAACTACATATACAAAATGCAGCCATACACAACTATTTCCTTTATTCCCTGAGTTGTCTGTACAATGAATTTGTTATGGTCTTTTTTTGTTGGTGGCTAAGCCAACCTAATCTTTACAATACCTCTCAATTCATGCCTGCTTGCAACCTCCACAGGTAGATTTCCTAGCTCGTGTGCAGTTTATTGACTGAAGCATTTACTAGCTTTAAAAATTCAACATTAGCTTATGAAGGAATGGGTATTAATTGTTCCAACATAGCACCTGGAACAAAATTTAAATTTCTCTGTATTGAGACTTCTCTGATGTTGAGTTGTAGATGCGTTTAAATTGCCCAGAAATTATTCAAATACAAATCACATGTCATCAAGATAAGAACTTGAAATTCAGCTGTTTGATCCATTTGCCACGGAGACTAGCTTCTGAGCAGATAAGTCTGCATTGGCAAGGGATCTGGAGTAAAAAGGCCAACCAAAAAGCTCTTTCTAAGGCTTTTTTGAGGCTAGCATCAGCACCACGCTTGTGCTAGGAGCTGGCAGCTTATGGGTGGGCTCCTGAGTCACCAGGGGTAGAGCTGGCACATTAGCAGCACAGTTTAAACACCCATCCTTAACCTTCACACCTGATAATAAGCTTTAAATAGCTTCCATTACACAAAACCCATCAGGTGAGAAACCATTGTTTCTGCTCACTGAGAAAGGGGAGGTTCAGTAAGTGAGCACAGCCTTCATTTCCCATAGGGTGCTACATCTGTGCATGTGGGAGGTGGGTCTAGTGGTGAGAATTGTAAACTTTGGTCCCTCCTTGCTCAAGAGACCAGCTTTTCTTGGCAGTCCCTTGGCAGGCCGAAACACAGTCTCCATTACACAGCAGGCTTGTTCTAAGAAGACCATGGCAACCCAGATAGAGAAATGTCACTGTTCAGGTCTATGGCTGCAGGGAGTGCCTGAGCCTGTTGTTGCCTAGGGAGAGTAGCAGGGACTCCACCTGTGTGAGGTGTGAGCAGGTGGATGAGCTACTTAGTTAGGTGGAACTTAAAGATGAGGTGCAGAGACTTAGGGCCATCAGGGAGTGTGAGTGGGAGATCGACTGGTGGAGTGACTCGCTGGCTTACCAGAGGGAAAGGTTCTGGGAAAATACCCCCAGAAAGGTGGTGGACCCTACAACCCTGCCCTGTCACAGCTGAATAGACCTGACTGATGAGGAAGGCTGGAAGAGAGTCCCAACTCGGTGTCACAGGACACCCCCACCTGCCTAGCCCAGTTCCCCAGCTCCCTCTAAGCAACAGGTTCCAGTTGCTGGAAGTTGAAGGAGAGGTGA